TGGGGGCAGTACCCCGCTCCTCCCCGCGCCCGACCGGCCCGACGATTTTTGTTCTTCTCCTTCCGGTCTAGTCGGGCCCCGGAGTCCCCTATGCCTCCCCAATATTTGACATGCTGTGGAGGTGTCTGACCTATAGACGGTTCCCGCTGTGCCCATTTCAAGAAGAATTCAGGAAATCGTCACCGGAAACAGTTCTAAAATCACGGTAAAAGCCAGTGCAAATGAACCTTCATAGTTACATGGACTTCCTCGAGGTCATCTAAGTGTAAATGTACAGTTAAATAAGAAAGTAGGCGGACTTTTCATACTGGTTCCGGTCCTGGTTTCCTTACTTCTTTTCGAAACGTGCAGAGCGGGAACCGTCTATTGTATGAGATTAGTTTTTTCCCTAATAGACCGTTCCGACAGTGCGCTGTTTGAGAAGAAATGAAGAAGTCAGGACCGGAACCAGTAGCTAAAGTTCGCTGATTTTTGTCATTTGACACTGCAGTTCGACGTGAATGACCTCTATTAAACCCCCAGTAACTGACAATTTTAGTTTTCACTGATTTTAGCCTGTATTTTGGAACTGTTTCCGGTTGTGATTTCATTCATTCTTCTTTAAACGGGCACTGCCGGAACCGTCTATTGATCCAAGATTTCGGTATTCTGGTAACCGATTTTGGTTTTTGTCTCGAAAACAAAGGGTATTCATTTATGCTCCCACTCCAAGTCTGGACTCGGTACCTCAAACGGTTTAGGACATTTCAATTCCTAAAATCTTTGCAGTAGGGTCAACCCTGAATACACCATTGGAAAGAGAACTGAAAACTGATTCAGAACCAGCTACGGCAAAAGTTTGGATTTTTGTTTTCTACCCTTAGATCAAAGATGTCAATAAAAACTAGCAGAATATCGTAACTCTCATTAGAAAAACAGGTAGTCTTCAATTGTCACCAAACTTTGTTTGCAATTTCTTCAAAGGTCCCTTAACATATTCTCTAATTTTTTTCAGAAGGGTGATATTCAAATTTTGTTAAAAATATTTTCTTACCAGTTTCTCTCTTAAATGCTTATAAAGAATATTTTTCAAAGGGAATAATTAAGGGCTTGCAGTATAGTTTCAAACCTAGTTTAAGACATGTTGTTTCTGGTTATTTTTGGAGCTAAAATCCTTCACTTGACGAAAATTAGGTAGGTTTTATGTAAACCAGGTTCCTTTTTAAACAAGTCTAAACAACAAGTTCTGTAAACTTTAGGTTTGAGAAGAAACAACGACTCTTTGTACTTGAGTAATTTGTCCCAGTTATGACTTAACATGAATCCAGCACACTGATAAAACCTTTCCGTTACTTCTAAAACATTTGGTAGACGTGTCATTTTGGGCTTAATCAATGACAACTGCAGAAACTTCATCTTCAAAACAAAAGAAAGAATTTGTGAGCATAGTTTAATAATATTATTTATAGTTACTATATGGTTCAGCTTAAGATGACTTTTATCAAATATTTTAAAAGAAACGGAAATGTTTTATTATTATTCTGGCTACAGGAATCTTGTGCAATAAGTCATAATTGGGACAAATGACTCAAGTATAAGAAGTTGTCGTTCCTTCACAACCCCAGTTAACAGACCTTTTTCTTTAATTTGTTTAAAAAGGAACCCATTTTCATAAAACCT